CCCGGCAGTCCCCGGCCAAGCCCATTGCTGCCTGAGAGCTTAGAGAACGATTCTATAGAGACAGCAGATGGTGAACAGGAGCCTGAGGCAGAAGCACTGGGTGGCACAAATTCCGAACCAGGCACACCACGAGCTGGGCGGTCAGCCATCCGGGCTGGGGGCAGCAGCCGTGCAGAGCGCTGTGCTGGGGTCCACATCTCAGACCCCTACAATGTCAACCTCCCGCTACACATCACCTCCATCCTCAGTGTGCCCCCGAACATCATCTCCAACGTTTCCTTGGCCAGGCTCACTCGTGGCCTCGAGTGCCCTGCTCTACAGCACCGGCCAAGCCCTGCCTCTGGGCCTGGCCCTGGCCCTGGCCTTGGCCCTGGCCCCCCAGGTGAGGACCCAAAGATTGAACAAGACTGGGAAAGGGGACTAGAACCCTAGGCTAAAGCTGTGATGCTGGAAGATTCGCCCTAGAAAAGGCAGAGGCCTCAGCCCTTGGGCTTTGGGGTGGTTACCTTCAGCAGCCTCCCTAGATTCAGGGTTGCAGAAATCCAGTAATATTACCAGGCTATGTGAAATCTATGGAGAGGAGATCTCTAGCAGCCTTCAGAGCACTGATGTACGCAAGAATGGGAGCTGTGTCAGACACATATAGCAGGGATTACTAAGGACAGTGTGGGAATATATAATAGATGGATGGGTAATAATAATAGTAACATCAATACTATCAGCTAACATTTATCAAGAGTTTATTAAGTACTGGCCGGGCACAGTGGCTCACGCCTGTAATCCCAGCACTTTGGGAGGCCAAGGCAGGCAAATCACCTGAGGTCCGGAGTTCAAGACCAGCCGGCCCAACATGGCGAAACCCTGTCTCTACCAAACATGCAAAAAATTGGCTGGGCGTGGTTTCGGGCGCTTGTGGTCCCAGCTGCTCAGGAGGCTGAGGCAGGAGAGCTGTTTGAACTTGGAAGGTGGAGGTTGCATTGAGCCGAGATTGTGCCACTGCACTCCAGCCTGGGCAACAAGAGTGAAACTCTGTCTCCAAAAAAAAAAAAAAAAAAAAAAAAAAATCAAGTGCTGTGATTGCAGGAATTAGCTTGTCTCATTTCCTCATAACTTTGTGACATAGGTATTGTTATTTTTCTGTTTCAGCAGTGAAAACTGAGACCTTAAACTCAGGTTATCAATTTGCTATTGATTTAGGTAGAAGTAGCAGAGCTGGTATCTGATCCTTGTTCTGACACCAGTTCCTGAAGTGTCACTCATGAGAAGTCCTGAGGCAGGATAGGATAGTGGGTAAGATCATGGGCTATAGAGTTAAGTAAACTTGGGTTCAAATTTTGGCTGTGTTGCATATTAGTTACATGACCTTAGACAAATTGCTTAATCTCTCTGAGCCTCAGTTTCCTCATATATAAAATGAGGACAATACCCCACACAATAGTTTGGAGGAAAAAATAAGACAATGCATTGTAAAATGGATAGCACAGTGCTTGGCACCTGATAGGGGCTCAATTAAGGTAGCAAGCCAATAATAAGGGATATTGTTCTGAGAGGATCAGTCATGCAGAGTAGCTACGCTGGGAGTGCTGGGTCTCTGCTATAGCAATGCTAGGAGGACCCATATTGAAAAGGGTCAGGGCTTGACCTTTGTATTCCTGGGACTACTTCTCCCCCAACAGATGAGAAGTCGGAAGCAAGTCCAACCCCAGGTCCCCTGGCAGACTCAGGCCCAGACGACTTGGCTCCTGCCCTGGAGGACTCCCTGTCCCAGGAGGTGCAGGACTCCTTCTCCTTCCTAGAGGATTCAAGCAGCTCAGAACCTGAGTGGGTGGGGGCAGAGGATGGGGAGGTGGCCCAGGCAGAAGCAGCAGGAGCAGCCTTCTCCCCTGGGGAGGACGACCCTGGGATGGGCTACCTGGAGGAGCTCCTGGGAGTTGGGCCTCAGGTAAGGAGAGCTGTGTTGGGTTTGGGGGTGGCATGGAGTCAAGGGTGGACAGGGCCTCCTGATCCTGAGCCACAATGCTGTGCCTACAGGTGGAGGAGTTCTCTGTGGAGCCGCCCCTGGATGACCTGTCTCTGGATGAGGCACAGTTTGTCTTAGCTCCTAGCTGCTGCTCCCTGGACTCTGCTGGCCCCAGGGCTGAAGTTGTGGAGGAAAATGGGGAGGAAGTCTTCCTGAGTGCCTATGATGACCTAAGTCCCCTTCTGGGACCTAAATCCCCAATCTGGGAGGGTGCATCGAGTTTGGAGGAAGAGGCAGCAGAATGTGGAAGGCAGGATCTGGGACAGACTGAGGAAGAACAGGCATGCTGGGAAGTTGGGGAGGACAAGGAGGCTGAGCCTGGAGGCAGATTAGACATCCGGGAAGAAGCTGAGGGAAGTCCAGAGATCAAGGTGGAGGCTGGAAAGGCCAGTGAGAATGGAGGAGAGGCTGGGGGAAGCCCAGACACAAAGGTCAAACTGAGAGAAGGGAGTAGGGAAGAGACAGAGGCCAAGGGAGAGACGTCCAAAGGTCAGAAGAAGGCTGACAGTATGGTGGAGGCTAAAGGTGTGGAGGAACCAGGAGGAGAGCAGTATACAGATGAGAAGGAAAAAGAAACTGAGAGAGAAGAGGCTGGGCAAGGAGAGGAAGCCCAGGTAGAAGCTAGAAGGGACCTAGAGCAAGGGGCCCAGGAAGATCAAGTTGCTGAGGAGAAATGGGAAGTTGTACATAAACAAAAGGCTGAGGGAGTCAGACAGGATGAGGACAAAGAACATAGGGGGAAGGGAGATGATGAAGTACGAAAAGACCAAGGAGATGGTGAAGACAGCAGAAGCCCAGAAGCAGCAGCTGAAGGAGGAGCAGGGGAAGTCAACAAGGAATGGGAGAATGGGGACGGAGAGGCTGAGGGAGACCAGAGGACTGGAGGGGACTACTTAGAAGAGGGCACCCTCTCTGAAGGTTCAGGTCCTTCAGAGTCCCTGGAGGTTGACTGTGCCAAAGAGGGCAATGCCCACTCTTCTGAGATGGAAGAGGCAGCCCCACAGTCATCCCAACCAGAGGAGATGGAGCCTGAGGGGCAGCCCAGTCCAGAGGGCTGTAATCTATGCCCTTGTTCCCTGGGCTTGGGTGGTGTGGGCATGCGTCTAGCTTCCTCTCTGGTTCAGGTCCAACAGGTCCGCTCTGTGCCTGTGGTGCCCCCCAAACCACAGTTTGCCAAGATGCCCAGTGCAATGTGTAGCAAGATTCATGTGGCACCTGCAAATCCAAGCCCAAGACCTGGCCGGCTTGATGGGACTCCTGGAGAATGGGCTTGGGGGTCCCGACCTTCTCGATCCTCTTGGAGGAATGGGGGTAGTCTTTCCTTTGATGCTGCTGTGGCCCTAGCCAGGGACCGCCAAAGGACTGAGGCTCAGGGAGTTCGGCGAAACCAGACCTATACTGAGGGTGGGGACTACTGCCTCATCCCCAGAACCTCCCCCTGCAGCATGATCTCTACCCATTCTCCTCGGCCCATTAGCTGCCTGGAGCTCCCATCTGAAGGCACACAAGGGTCTGGATCCTGGAGTCGTCTTAGTCTGCCCCCCAGAGAACACCAGGTCCCTGACCCCCTGTTGTCCCCCCAGCGCCGATCATATGCATTTGAAACACAGGCTAACCCTGGGAAGGGTGAGGGACTGTGATTAGGACCAGAGCTCTGGGCAAAGGGGACTTTGTGATTAGGACAGAGCTCTGGGTAAGTTGTTTTGAATCTCCAGGGTTCCTGACTAGCTGTGTCTTTTTTCTGTTTTCCCCTCAAGACGGAGTTTTGCTCATGTTGGCCAGGCTGGAGTACAATGGTGCCATGTTGGCTGACCCCAACATCCACCTCCTGGGTTCAAGTGATTCTCCTGCCTCAGTCTCCTGAGTAGCTGGGATTACTAATTTTGTATTTTTTAGTAGAGACAGGGTTTCTCCATGTTGGTCAGGCTGGTCTTGTACTCCTGACCTCAGGTGATCCACCTGCCTCAGCCTTCCAAGGTGTTAGAATTACAGGTGTGAGCCACTGTGCCCGGACCTGACTAGCTGTCTCTTCTGCAGCTGCAGCAGCTGTATTGCCCAACTCTATAGGCTCTGGCCCCTCCAGATTCTCTTTTTGACTGTGGGAGGCACTGCCTTGATTGGTTTACCTGAACTTGTCTCAGATGCAAAGCACTTATCTCTTAGGAGATTCCCAAGAAAGTCAACAAGATCCTGTCCCCAGGGAGTGAGTCACTGGCCAAAGGGAACATAGGGTAGGCAGAAAACTTAAAAGAGTTTCTTAAAGTGAAGACTGGAGAATTCCAGCCAAGTTCCTCCCTTCCTCTGAGCTGTGAATCTCTCTTCATGGAAGCCAAGGGTAGAGACAGGGAGGATGGGGCCAGGTTAGAGCCTTCCATACACAAACACTTCTAGAGTTGTCCTTTTCTGTTCTGTTCTTGGACCCTTAGATGCCTCCTGACCCTTTTAGCTCCAGATTAGGAGAAACATCCAGCAAACTCTTTGAAGCCCTCAGTATTTGTTGGAGGGACTGGACTCCTCTCCAGCTCCCCCACCCTCTGCCTCCATCATATGTACAAGAGAGGTCTTGTACAGATCTCTCTGGGCTCTAATTTTTCCTTTGGAATAACTTCTTCCTATTTCAGGAAAGGGAAATGGTGTCACTCAAGTCCTGGAGCTGCTTCTCCAGCCAGGCTGGGACCATAGGTCCCACTCTAGTGAAGGTCAATGTCTCAGAATAAAGGCTGTATTTTTACAAATAGTGTGGGGTCTCATCATTCTTATTAAAGTCTTTGATGATAGGTATTATATTTTCTTTTTTTTTTGGTATTATATTTTCATATATTTCGCAAAACATTCTTTTTCTTCTTGCTGTTTGGGTGCTCCTCAGTTGTCATGGAGACTAGTGGTTAGAAACTAGAACTAGGTTCATGGTGGTCAGGAAATGGGGAAGAGAAACTTATATTTACATAATGCTCATTATATGCCAGGAACTGGCCTAAGTATTCTGTGCTCATAGAATCTATGTCCTTGATTTTATTTAATCCACATCATTCTGGAAGGTTGGTGCTGGTATTTCCAGTTTACACATGAGGAAACTAAGGCTTTACTAAGTCAAAATGTTTGTCAAAGATCTCAGAGGTAAGAAGCAGCAGAGATCGGTTTGAAAGCTGGATTTGCCTGGCCCCCAAGTTTGAATTCTTCCTATTTTACCACACTACTCCAAATCCATTCAGGGTAAAGATCTTGATTGAGAAGAATGGGAATCAAGATTCCTGTTACATAAAGTGAGCCTTTAGAAAGCTAGAAGCCTTGGGGTCTTTGGGTGAGTAATCGCTGACGCGAATTAACAAGGAACATACCCAGATCTATGCGTACCCCGACAGGTCGTAATCTCTAGCAGGTAACCCTTCAAAAAGACGCCCTGAGCCAAGATGGCCTCCCAAATAGCCCTTGTTAAAGATGGCGCCTCCGTCGGACGTCCCTCCCTTGATCTCAGCGGGACTCTCATCTTTTTTTCCTGGAATGAAAAAATGCCCTGCCCAGCACTAAGATGTTAGTACAAGTTAGTAGTCTCTTTCTCGCTCTTGTCAAAAGTGGCCAGGACTTCAGCTACATTCTCCAGGACACGGCTTCTTTTCGACTTCAGAAAAAAACCCACAAACATCGACAACCTTTAGCTCTCACCAAGATGGAGCGAGCGGAAGTGCGGCGGCTCAGAGTTTGAGTTTATGGGCGGGCCGAGGGCGACACTTCCGCCCCTCACCAACATGGCCGCGGGCTGGAAGTGCGCATGAGCAGCTGTCTATGGCGATACCCAGATCGGGACAGGGAGAACACAGTTGGAGAAAATCGGCGGCTGAGACGGCCTTGACCGGTGAGTGTAGGACCAGGCAGAAGTCCGGAGACTGGGTGGACTGGCAAGGCAGGGCAGCTTTGACTTTGTTTCTGTTTTTCAGGTTAGAGAACGCTGCCAGGGAGGAAGCCTTTGTTTTGGGGGAGGGGACCGTGCTGGTTCTTTATCTCCTACCCGGCTTTGTGGGCCGAACGAACTCTCTTCCTGCCCCGAGAGCTCATGTCCCAGCCCTCCTGCGCTATCCAGCTGCGAGTCGCAGCCGTCGGCACCCGGCCCCTGAGCTTCCCAGTCCCCGACGCCCTTTCCTGCCTCCTCCGCGGAGCAGCTGGGGCGCTGGGCTAGCGCTGCGGGGCTGCAGGGTCACGGCGCAGGCTCCCGGGCTCGCGCCTGGCGGGCGCTCAGCTCCGTAAGCGCCTCCTGGTTGGTGAGCCTGCAGGGAGACGCCTCATTCTCAGGCAAGGTCTAGGCGCCTGACTTCTTTCGGGAGTTGATTTTTTTTCCCTTTGTGTCCAGACTTCGCAAGGGCTTTTACTGGGCCCTTCTGGCCTGAGCGTGCACGCTACAATGTCCCATCCCGGTTTCCTTGTCACAGATCCCTAATGCTTAGGAAATGCTTCTGGATGTCCAACTAAGATTTGAATAAGTAGCCTGACCCGGTTGCTGGGTGTCCTCGGAGACTGCCCCAGCTGACAGCTGTGGCCAATAGAGATGCCTCCTGTGCCGGGCCCTTTCATTGCCTTCTCCTGCAGTCAGCGCGGCAAGCTTCGTAGGGCATTTCCTCTTCTGGTTTGAAGATGGAAATGTAGGTGGTCCCAAAACACTAGTGCTACTTCCCCTTACCGACTGGGATCTCCTTGCAGCGTTACTTCCTTTGGACGGTTTCACTTTCAGTTCCTTTTTTAACATTTTCCTCGGACGCAGTCTTGCCAAGGCTTATCCACTGAAAATTTTCCTTGGATAGGAAAGGTTTGGAGAACCTCGTGGGTAGATAATTTCTAAAAATCTTTCCCTTTTGTGTTGGGATTATCTTACTGCTTTGTACTGTGTAGCTGTTTCTTTCTGGTGGCATGTCTGCCCAGCCCTTTGTTTTTCCTGCCCTCTGGCTTGGTCTCAGGGTCCTAAGGCAGACCTTGTAGGTGGATTCCTCCCTCTTTGTCTCTTCTTCAGAACTCTGGGTTTTTTCCCTTCTTGCTGAGGCTCAGTTGATTTGGAGTTGTCATGGCAACATTTTAGCAACTGTGTTGTTCTACTGGAAGGCTTGATGAATAAAATAGAGGGCGCTTGAAAATGATCCACTTGGGCTTTAGGGTTTCTAACACATTATATAAATCTGGATGCCCCAAAACAAGAGCCCTGTCAGTAGAATGGGGCCCAAAGGCCAAGTGTGGTCTTTGTGGTTAGGGACATTCTTCCAGTGGTAATGGGCTTCAGATTTCCTCTTCCTGGATTTGAGAACAGAAATGTCTCAGTGGACAATATGCGGCTGAGAAACTGGAAGAAGTGTCAGTGTCCATGACACGGTATTTTTTGATGGTGTGCCAATACATAGCCCTTCCTGATTCCCATGAAGCTGCCATCATGGCAGGTCATAATAGCTTTAATAATGATCCATTTAAGAAATGTGTTGTTGGCCAGGCGAGGTGGCTCAGGCCTGTAATCCCCGCACTTTGGGAGGCCGAGGTGGGCGCATCACCTGATGTCAGAAGTTCAAGACCATCCTGGCCAACATAGTGAAACCCCGTCTCTAAAAAAACTAATAAAAAAATAAAAAAGAAATGTGTTGTTTCGGCCAGGTGTGGTGGCACACATCTGTAATCCCAGCACTTTGGGAGGGGCAGGTGGATCACGAAGTCAGGAGTTTGAGACCAGCCCGGCCAACATGATGAAACCCTGTCCCTACTGAAAATACAAAAATTAGCTGGGTCTCATGGCACATACCTGTAGTCCCAGCTACTTGGGAGGCTGAGGCAGGAGAGTCACTTGAACCTGGGAGGCACAGGTTGCAGTGGTGAGCTGAGATTGTGCCAGTAGACTCCAGCCTGGGTGACAGAGCAAGACTGTCTCAAAAAAAATTTTTAAAAATGTGTTGCTTCTGTCTTCAAGTATAATTATTCCTCTCCACCAGGAGTTGGAGTGATAATGGAGGGATGAGGAATACTATTTGTAGAGTTGCTTTTTCAGTCACTGTAGGCCAGTCCTCAGCATCAGTATGGTGGAGGCTGATTGTACCCTGCAGATGACTGGGTTATTTTCCTGGCTGTGTGTTCATGGAACCTAAGTTCTAGAACCAGAGATACTGTTCCGTGTCCTAGACTCACTGCAAACTCCGTGATTTCTACCAGGACTTAGCACTGAGGCCTGTGAATCAGGAGATACCAACAGCCCCAAAAAAGGATCAGTTCCTCGGATGTGCCCCCTCACAGAGAGATGAAGGGGTGAGTGAAGAAGAGGTAGGATCTGGGATGAAAGATGGGTGGCCTGGGAGAATGCAGAACGGCCAAGAGCACTGCCTTAGGAGTCAGGTAGACCTGGATTCAGGTTCTACTGTATCACTTACTGTATGATTTGGTTTCTCCATCTATAAAATGGAAGTAGTGCTATCTATCTCGTGGTGCTATTTTTAGTATTAAATAAGAATACATGTTATGTACTTAGCTTAGTGCCTATGTTCATAGTAAACAGTAAACACTAGTTGTTATTCTAACCTACCCCAGCATCTGTTGGGAATGCCAGTGAGTTTGCAGCCCTATACTACTGGGCTAGTGAGTTTCTCATTCACTTCTTCCCATATTCTTCCTTTTGTCCTTTCACCATAAATAGGCAGCAGAAAACAGCTGAAACGGAAGAGGGGACAGTGCAGATTCAGGAAGGTGAGTACTAGAAACAGAACCAAGGCTAAGAACCCACCATGGACTCCCTTCCTCCCTGACCAGACCATCTCCTGTGCGTCCTCCTTCAGTGACATGAAAGTGGAATGGGGATGGTGGGGGGGGTGTGTGGAGAGAAAGGCAGACTTTTCCTTTGTTCTTTTAATTCAGGTGCAGTGGCTACTGGGGAGGACCCAACTAGTGTGGCTATTGCCAGCATCCAGTCAGCTGCCACCTTCCCTGACCCCAACGTCAAGTACGTCTTCCGAACTGAGAATGGGGGCCAGGTAAGGGAGGGGGCCAGGTGGCTGCAGGTGTTATTTGGGGTTGGGATTGAGGGAGGTAATTGAACATGTCTTGGGGTGACCTGGCTTGGAGGATGAGCTGAAAGCGTAGACTGTTGCAGGGGAGGGAGGTGCGAATACTGGAGTAGAGACTGGTGTGAGGTTAGATGTATGCTAAAACCTGTGTGTGGAGAACGAAGGAAGAATGGCTGAATCTGTGTCTCTGAAAGTTTCTTGTTTCGGGGTCCTATCCAAGGGAAGCTTTATGAGGGGTCGTAGGATTCCCAGCACTTAATCTGTTCTTCTCTCTTCCCCTCCCTCTGCCTTCCTCTACACTTCTAGGTGATGTACAGGGTGATCCAGGTGTCTGAAGGGCAGCTGGATGGCCAGACTGAGGGCACTGGTGCCATCAGTGGCTACCCTGCCACTCAATCCATGACCCAGGTACAGGGTATGGGCTGGGGAGGTAACTAGAGTTCTGAGAAGAAAGATGAAGAAGGGAAGCAATAGGATGGGGGTGAAGCTAGGGACAGTGAGGCATCTAGGGCTACCTTGTCCCAAAACACTAGGCTCTCCCTTTCTGGATGTTTCTCTCTCTCTCTCTGTCTCTCCACCCTACCCCCTACCCCAAGGGATAGAAGCTGCAGAGTGGTATAGTGGAAAGAAGTTTTTGACTCTTACCAGAATCTGTTCTCTTGCTCCGTTCGCAGGCGGTGATCCAGGGTGCCTTCACCAGTGATGATGCAGTTGACACAGAGGGGACAGCTGCAGAGACACACTATACTTACTTCCCCAGCACGGCAGTGGGAGATGGGGCAGGGGGTACCACATCGGGAAGTACAGCTGCTGTTGTTACTACCCAGGGCTCAGAGGCACTGCTGGGACAGGCGACCCCTCCTGGCACTGGTGAGATATTTTGGGAGGATGCTGGCTGGAAGGGGTAGGATAGGCTGTGGGACTTGACTGGTAGGCAGTGAGCCTTCACTCATGACTCTTAGTGATCATTAAGACCTGGGCAGGCAGTGAGTCTGGGAATGCTCTTCTTTTAGCATGTTAATTTTAGAGGAGGGCCCAGGGTCTTCACCTCAGGGCTTGGTGAGTTTCCTACTCGTGTCCTGACAGAACCATCCTGCGTCTTCACAGGTCAGTTCTTTGTAATGATGTCACCACAAGAAGTACTGCAGGGAGGAAGCCAGCGCTCAATTGCCCCTAGGACTCACCCTTATTCCCCGTGAGTGACGCTTGTTTCTTCTCAGATTCCATAAGTGGTTTTGTTGGTTTGTTTTTGAGACAGAGTCTTGCTCTGTTACCCAGGCTAGAATGCGGTGTCGTAATCTCAGCTCACTGTAACCTCTGCCTCCAGGGTTCAAGCAATTCTCATGCCTCAATCCCCCGAGTCACTGGAACTACAGATGTATACCACCATGCCTGGCTAATTTTTGTATTTTTAGTAGAGACAGGGTTTCACCATGTTGGCAAGGCTGGTCTCGAACTTCTAACCTCAATTGATCCACCTGCCTCAGCCTCCCAAAGTGCTGGGATTACAGGTGTGAGACATCTTACCCAGCTAGCCATAAGTGGCCTTAATACCTGCAAAATCTTGTATAATTCTTAAACACTAAACTGCAATCACATATTTTATCCTTCTCTGACCCTGGTCACCCTGGGCTCTATTGTCAGGAAGTCAGAAGCTCCTCGGACAACTCGTGATGAGAAACGCAGAGCTCAGCACAATGAAGGTAGGTAAGATCTGTGTGGAGCTAGGAGTGTCTGGTGGGCCTAGGACAGCAGTGATGTCTGCGGGGAGGAGGGGTTAGGTAATTTTACCCCGGGACTTGTGGTGAGTTTTCACTGAGCCACCTTGTCCTCCACTTTGCCCCACAGTGGAGCGCCGCCGCCGAGACAAGATCAACAACTGGATCGTGCAGCTCTCCAAGATCATCCCAGACTGCTCTATGGAGAGCACCAAGTCTGGCCAGGTCATGGAAAGACCCTGGTAGTGGGCAGGATGCCTGAATTCTGTCTCCTGGTATTGTTTCCAGAAATGGTAGAGAGTGGGGCACACATGACAGTAGTCTTACCTCTCCCTGAAGTTCCCGTATCCCTGGGAGATACTATAACACCTTTCTTAGGGGAAAATGAGGTCCAAAGTTTGAACCTGCTTTTGCAAAGCAAGCTGGATATCTGAAATCCTAGTCCTCATTTTGTCGGCCTTATCTTGCAGAGTAAAGGTGGGATTCTATCCAAAGCTTGTGATTATATCCAGGAGCTTCGGCAGAGTAACCACCGCTTGTCTGAAGAACTGCAAGGGCTTGACCAACTGCAGCTGGACAATGACGTGCTTCGACAGCAGGTCAGAAGCCTACCCCCAGTGCAGCCCTTCTCAGCTCCACTAGCCACTGACCCAGTTTGACACCCTCTACTTTGTTCTCCATGGAGAGGGCTTCATCTCTCACCAGTTGATGTCTGAATACATTCAGGGGCTTGGTAGTGCCAGCTTTACTACCCATTCCATTTACTGTCTTCTTCCCATGTCAGGTGGAAGATCTTAAAAACAAGAATCTGCTTTTGCGAGCTCAGTTGCGGCACCACGGATTAGAGGTCGTCATCAAGAATGACAGCAACTAACTACGGGGATCCCGGGGCTTTGGGCCCAAAAACTGCAGATAGCCCAGGAGCAACAGCCTAATCCCGTGTCCTTTCCTTCACTGCCCACTTCTGGCAGGGGACGGGGCGGGGGGGGGGGTTCAAAAGGTGTGTCTTTGAACTGAGGACCTGTGATATGGCAGCCTGCAGTGGTGTGAAACACACAATGTGAACGTGCACTGACAGCCTTGCCCACCCCCACCACGCAGCCCCTGGGCCCTTGTGCTCCTCTCGCACAATGCATGTGCTGTCTCCATGCTGGATACTGGACACACTAAACTGGGGGGCTTGTCCTGTGCTTGCTTAGAGTGCCCAGCAGAGTCCTGCTGACGGGTGATGCTCTGGCTTGCCCCAGGACTCTGGCACTTCCATTGGTTCTTCCTTTCCCTGGAGCTGAGGTTTAGATGTGCACCCTGCTGCTCAGGGGAGCAAGCTTACACAAGAAGTGGGGAAAGGATGTTTAGCAGTGGCTGGTGCCCATGAAGAGGAGACTGGCCAGCCAGAAGCTGAGGCTTGTGCAGACGTCTCTGGAGCCAGGGAGAACTACAGGCAGGGGCCCATTTGGGGCCTTCCCCTTTGTGGGGGTGTTTTTTTTTTTTCTTCCTTTTTTTTTTTTTTTTTTTTTTTTTTAAGATAAAACTGTTCAAAGCCACAGTGTCTGTTTTTCTTCCTTTTGTGGGCCACAGGCTGAAAGGGAGAGGCACATTGCTCTTTGACCAGTAAGGGCTGGGGCAAGTTCAGGGTGGGGTGCTGTTCCTGTACTCATTACCCTGCGTCCTGGTTCCTAGCCCAGACCGGTGTGTCGTTTATGGCTTACACTGGAGAATACTGACTTGGCGGTGGGACGGTGCTAGAGGCGCAGCGAACAGGTGCTGCGGGGGCGGTGCGGGAGGCGGTGCCCTTGTTTCCGGATCCGGTCTCAGTGACTGGGAGATGCTGCGGGTGCTGAGAGGGCGGGCCGGGCCCGCGCTCGGGAGACGAGCGGTCGCTGCGCGCACCATGGCTGGAGGTACCTGCGGGGGATGCCTGCGGCCGAGCGCGGTCCTCGCGGCCCCCTGAATTGAGGCGTGGCGGCAAGGCGGGGTGGGGAGCGAAGGGGCGTAGCCAAGGGGTCCTCGTGCACACCCTACTGCGGAGGGGCGCTGCCAGGTGAGGGGGCGCCGTGGCGGCCGTGATTCCTAGGCCCCCTCTCCTGAAGTCTGTCATGCCCCTTCCTCAGCGCCCACGGTCTCGCTCCCTGAACTCCGTTCACTCCTAGCCTCGGGCCGGGCCCGGCTCTTCGACGTGCGCTCTCGGGAGGAGGCGGCAGCTGGGACCATTCCTGGGGCGCTCAACATCCCTGGTATGGGGTGGAGAGGGGACCGTCCAGGGGAGTCTTTGCCAATGGGACCTCACTTAGGATGGAATGGGGAAGACACTGGTTATGGGGGTCCTGCATTCTCGGTAGCCAGCCCTCAGCTTCCGCAGGAAGGACTGATGGCAGATCCTGGCAGTGGAACTGGCCCATCCAGTTTGAGGGTACAGCAGGTGGAGAGGAGAGGGGCAGACCAGCCTCTGTTGACCTCCCAGAGATAGGAAAGATAGCTTCCGGATCCGGGACGCCTGAGGGAGCATCCCGCCCCGCTAGGCTAGGGGAGTGGCTCGCATTCAAAAGTTGTTGGTTTCTGGTCCTTGAAATTAGGGTAGGGGTAGGGATGGCTATCATATGCTGTTTAGGGGCCCCCAGTACCCAGCCTTTCCAGGCCCAGCTTCCGAACCTGAGTGCCAAACTGCAGGCTTTCCCTTCTTACCCTCTCCACTCCTGCAGTGTCCGAGTTGGAGAGTGCTCTGCAGATGGAGCCAGCGGCCTTCCAGGCTTTGTACTCTGCAGAGAAGCCAAAGCTGGAAGATGAGCATCTCATTTTCTTCTGTCAGATGGGCAAGCGGGGCCTCCAGGCTACACAGCTGGCCCGCGACCTTGGATACACTGGGTACAGTAGGTGTGGCTGCTAGCTGGGAAGTGATGGGGACGGCCTGTCGGGTCTGTCCGTCTCTCACCCTTCTTTCTCTCCACAGGGCCTGCCACTACGCTGGGGCCTATAGAGAATGGTTGGAGAAAGATGCTTAGGCAGGAGGCAGCTTACTGATTGCCACCTCCTGGGCCCTTAATGGCCATCTTTGGCATTAATGGCAACTTCTTATAGTGTTGTGCACACACAAGTATCAAATAAAGAGCATTTAATCAAAGTATTGGAAGCAATTAATTTGTCCAGGGGGACTGAAAACAGTTCTAATTTTTATCTAGACCTCAGCTGAGCCCTGGACCATCATTTCTTCTAGCATTCATCCTCCCCCTACCACTTCCCACATGCAAAATTGTAGCAGTTTCCTGAGAGGCTACAATGTACACTTCTCCTTCTAGAACAGCTGCTTTCAGCCCACAATGCACATCAAAATCACACAGTAGGTTTTCTTTTTGTTTTGTTTTATTTTTAATTCAGAATATGGGGGTGGAGCCTGAGCATTAGTGGCTTCATGGGCCTCTGGAGTGATTCTCATATGCAGCCAGAAGCAGGCACCACTGCTGTAGACCAGAGATCAGCAAACTCTGTTCCCAAATGGCTGTGCTGCTGTGACTTCTGCTTATGTCTATGGATTGAGGAGGTGAAAGGGCAATCCCAGCCTTTGGGTGAGGGAATGGATGGCACCCTTCATCCCTACTGATGCATCATGCACAGATTACAGGTGTGAGGAGCTCTTCCTGTGCCACCAAAACCAGGTTTTTGTTTTTAGCAACATTAATATCTCCCTCTCTCCCTCTCTCTTTTTTTTTTTTTTTTTTTTTTGTTGAGACACAGTCTTGCTCTGTTACCCTGGCTGGAGTGCAGTGGCTAGATCTCAGCTCACTGCAACCTCCATCTCCAGGGTTCAAGCAATTTTCCTGCCTCAACCTCCTGAGTAGCTGGGATTACAGGAGTGTGCCACCACACCTGGCAGATTTTTGTATTTTTAGTAGAGACAGGGTTTCACCATGCTGGCCAGGCTGCTCTAGAACTCCTGACTTCTGGTGATCTGCCCGCCTCCACCTCCCAAAGTGCTGGGATTACAGGCATGAGCCACCACCATGTCTGGCCACCACTAATCTCTTATACTAGATTTAACAAATTAAGCCTGGGCATGGTGGCTCACACCTGTAATTCCAGCACTTTGGGAGGCCAAGGCAGGTGGATCACCTGAGATCAGGAGTTCCAGACCAGCCTGGCCAAGATGGCAAAACCCCATCTCTACTAAAAATACAAAAATCTGGATGGCTGCGGTGGTTCACACCTGTAATCCCAGCACTTTGGCGGGGGGCTGATCACAAGGTCAGGAGTTCGAGACCAGCCTGGCCAATATGGTGAAACCCCATCTCTACTAAAATACAAAATTAGCTGGGCGTTACAGTGTGCGCTTGTAGTCCCAGCTATTCAGGAGGCTGAGGCAGGTGAATTGCTTGAGCCCAGGAGGCAGAGGTTGCAGTCAGCTGAGATTGCACCACTGCACTCCAGCCTGGGGCAACAGAGCAAAATTCAGTCTCAAAAAAAAAAAAAAAAAAAACCTGCCGGATGTGGTGGCACACTCCTGTAATCCCAGATACTTGGGAGGCTGAGGCAGGAAAATCGCTTGAACCCTGGAGGCAGAGGTTGCAGTGAGCCAAGATTGCGCCATTGCACTCTAGCCTAGGCAACAATAGTGAAACTGTCTCAAAACAAAACAAATTTAATTGATTGGCCAGGCACAGTGGCTCATGCCTATAATCCAAGCACTTTGGGAGGCTGAGGTGGCAGATCACCTGAAGTCAGGAGTTCGAGACCAGCCTGGCCAACATGGTGAAACCCCCATCTCTACCAAAAATAAAAAAAAATTAGCTGGGAATGGTTGTGTGCACCTGTAGTCCCAGCTACTTGGGAGGCTGAGGCAGGAGAATTACCTGAACCCAAAAGGCGGAGTTTGCAGTGAGCCGAGATGGTGCCCCTGGACTTCAGCCTGGGTGACAGAGAGAGACTCAGTCTCAAAAAAACAAAATTTAGGCTCGGTGCGGTGGCTCACACCTGTAATCCCAGTACTTTGGAAGGCTAGGTGGGTGAATCACCTAAGGTTGGGAGTTTGAGACCAGCCTGACCAACATGGAGAAACCCCATCTCTATTAAAAATACAAAATTAGCCGGGTGTGGTGGCGCATGCCTGTAATCCCAGCTACTCAGAAGGCTGAGGAAGAAGAATCGCTTGAACCCGGGAGGCGGAGGTTACGGTGAGCTAAGATTGTGCCACTGCACTCCAGCCTGGGCAATGAGAGTGAAACTCTGTCTCAAAAAATAGTAATAATAATTGGTTAAAAAGATGAAATTACACATCCTTACTGAAACGAAATTCAACATTACATAGTAGGTATATGACCACTCTAGCATGGTGTATAGTTTGATACAGAAGACATTTTAAATATTTTCTTTTTTTTTTAAATTGAGACAGAGTTTCGTTCTTATTACCCAGGCTGGAGTGCAATGGCGCGATCTCGGCTCACCGCAACCTCTGCCTCCTGGGTTCAGGCAATTCTCCTGCCTCAGCCTCCTTAGTAGCTGGGATTACAGGCACGTGCCACCATGCCCAGCTAATTTTTTGTGTTTATTTAGTAGAGATGGGGTTTCACCATGTTGACCAGGATGGTCTCGATCTCTTGACCTCGTGATCCACGCGCCTCGGCCTCCCAAAGTGCTGGGATTACAGGCTTGAGCCACCGCGCCTGGCCATTTTAAATATTTTCATGGCAGAATTTTTACTTCTTAAGTTTGATTTTTGGAAAATTTATTCATTTATCTGTGGAAGAGAAGATTGAGTCAGGAATTAATCCAGTGTTTTGAGTTTTCATGCCTCTGAAGAACTTCTTTCAGGCTTTTCCTGCATTGCTTGGTTTTCTCTCACCTCCTTTTCTTCGCTTCTGCCTTCTCCACTGTACCCAGCCCTACTACATCTTTTATCTCACAGTACACACTCCACACGCAATGAAATCTGCTATTGATCTTGGCTCTCCAGCTTCTCTGTCACAGAGCTATCCCACTTTCTCCCTGGGCTTATCTTACCACATTATTGTCTGAGATTAGCCAGACATTGTCGAGTTTGGAGATAAAGTTGAAATATATGAAAGAATCTAACCAAGGGTCTGGCAAATAGTGTCAGTTACCTTTCCCCAAATACCCAAATCATTTTGTTTTTCATACAGATTGGGAAGCTTCTTCTGGGGCTTTATTTCCTTCTTTGTTTTGTCTTAACTGTTCTAGTCTTCTTTTTTCCCCCTCCCCAAATCTTTATTATAATTTGGTTACAGCATTTTATTATTGAGGCATAATTTACTTACAATATAATGCACAATTCTTGGCCCAGCATGGTGGTTCACGCCTGTAATCCCAGCACTTTGGGAAGCTGAGGTGGGCGGATCTCTTGAGACCAGGAGTTTGAGACCAGCTGGCCAACATTGTGAAACCCTGTCTCTACTAAAAATAGAAAAATTAGCTGGACATGGTGGTACTCGTCCGTAGTCCCAGCTATTCTGGTGGCTGAGGCATGAGAATTGCTTGAGCCTGGGAGGCAGAGTTTGCAGTGAGCTGAG